TTCACGAGTGAGGGAAGGATGGATTGACAGACGGATCGGTGCAGCGGCAGCAGTAATGTGGTCGATGTACCAGTCTGTTGTGGTAAAGAAGGAGCTGAGCCGAAAGGCAAAGCTCTCAATTTACCGGTCAATCTACGTTTCTACTCTCACCTATGGTCCCGAGCTTTGGGTCATGACAGAAAGGACAAGATTTCGGATACAAGCGGCCGAAGTGAGTTTCCTTCGAAGAGTTGCAGGACACACTCTTGAGGATATGGTGAGGAGCTCTGACATTGGAGGAGCTCGGAGTAGAGCCGTTGCTCCTCCACATCAAGAGAAGTCAGGTGAAGTGGCTCGGGCATCTGTTTCGGATGCCTCCAGGAAGCCTACCTAGGGAGGTGCTTCAGGCATGTCCCACCAGGAGGAGGCCTTGAGGAAAACCCAGGGCACACTGGAGGGACTATGTCTATCAGCTGGCTTGGGAACGCCTCAGGATTCCCCCGGAGGAGCTGGAGGAAGTGTCTGGGGAGAGGGAAGTCTAGGGTTCTCTCCTAAGATTGCTGCCCCCATGACCCGGCCCCAGAAAAGTGGCAGAAAATGGATGAATGATAATAAAGTAATGATGCAACGTCTTTGTCACTGCTTTTTAGAATTCTACTATTAATTGACATTTATTTGAGACTAAAAAGGACATTTTTAAAACATTGATTGATTAGGTCATGTCATGTTATGTCAATGTTAACAACTGTTGAATGCATTGAATCTGGAACAATGTAAAGCCCCCAAATGCTGTCTTTTATCTATTTTTATTATTATTTTGTATTTGTTTATTTTATGTTGAATATTTTAGGTGAGGCAGTGGCGCAGTAGGTAGTGCTGTCGCCTCACAGCAAGAAGGTCACTGGTTCGAGCCTCGGCTGGGTCAGTTGGCGTTTCTGTGTGGAGTTTGCATGTTCTCCCTGCATTCGCGTGGGTACCCTCTGGGTGTTCTGGTTTCCCCCCACAGTCCAAAGACATGCAGTGTAGGTGAATTGGATACAACTATGTCATGTCATGTTGTGTTAGGCTAAATTGTCCATAGTGTATGAGTGAGTGTGTTTGAATATTTTCCAGAGATGGGTTGCAGCTGGAAGGGCATCTGCTGCGTGAAACGTGCTGGATAAGTTGGCGGTTCATTACTCTGTGGCTAGCCCCGATTAATAAAGAGACTAAGCTGAAAAAATGAATGAATAATTGAATGAATGTTGAATGTTGTAAAATGTAATATTTCTGAATGCAAAATGTTCTGTTGTAACTCTTAAATAGCTCTCAATACAAAACAGGGACTCAATTTTTATACACTCAACTGAAGCTATGAAGTGCATTTCAAGTCAAAATGTCATTATATGTGGTATTTGCATATGCTTAACGTTAGCAACATTTACTACAAAGAGCCGCAGTTCACTAAGAAGCTACACAAACAGCTGCGAATGATTTTCTTTGATTTGACTAATCGCAAAATACAAAACAATGTATGTGCTTTTTAAAATCAACTAGTTTTTAATGATATTTTACTTCTATTTTAATGAATATTTTCATGGCAGAAATATTTTATTAATAAATATGCGATTAAAACCATAAACAAATCAATACATAAATTAAATCTAGTTCTTACTTGGTTATTACTGGCTGAGCTGGAAGAGGGTGTGGCCTCTGGTTCCGCCTCCAATGACTTGTCTTTGCCCCCTGATGGTTGTGTAGCCTCCACCCACTCGTCCTCTGAGTCCTCAAAACAAACGAAAATGTTTTTGTTTTGTTTTTTTAAGATGAAAACAAACCTTTACTGTGTTATTTTAGTCATGCATGTTGCGATCAAAGGATTGAAAAGACAAAATTCCTGTGTACGCATACTTCAGAGCTGTCACAAGATGCATCTCCCTCGTCTTTTTTCTCTTTCTTGGCTTTTTTCTTCTTCTCTTTCTTACTCTTCTTTGCTTTCTTCTCCTTTTTAGCTTTCTTGGTTTTCACAGTATGCTCCTGTGTGCACAAAAACAGATGATTAAAGTGATTCCAGTGTGAAGTAGACATATGATAGCATTCAATAATTTAATATATCGTGATAATGAACATGCACAATATATTAATACAGTGGCCATTTCAAAATACTGTGAATAATTTAAATTATTTAAACTTTTAGAGGGCTTTTACAGGTTATTCAAATGTAAAATATGAACGCTATATAAATCTTTAATCTATTTGAAAAATATAATATTTATAATTACTGAATTTTGTATTATTTATTATATATTTTAATTGTTCTCTGAACTTTTATTCTCCTGTTTTTATTTATTTATTAAGCCCCTAATTAGTTTTGTTTTCTAACCTTTTCTTCCGTCTTTACCTTGTAATTACTTTTATCTAAAAAAACTGTGATAATAATAATAATCATAAAAAATACTGATACTAACTGAAATAACTTAACTTTAAAATAACTTTAATTTCACGATACCTTCATATAATATCATATCATATATTTTTATTATATCATATATTTATTAGCAACAACAGCTTTTTTCATGGCAAAAACATTACAATAATATATTTACATAATATAATTGTAAAATATACAATTAAAACCACAAACAGCGTATAATTTTTAGGGCCCTATTTTGACGATCCATGCGTAGTCCATAGCACAGGGCGCAAACGCATTAGAGTCAGAATCCACTTTTGCTATTTTAAGGACGGAAAAATCCGCTTTGCCCCACGGCGCATGGTCTAACAGGGTTGAGCTTATTTTCTTAATGAGTTATAGGTGTTTTGAGAATAAACCAATCAGAGTCTCATCTCTCATTCCCTTTAAGAGTCAGTTGCGTCGCGCCAGAGTGCATTTGTTTTGTAAGTGGAAAACCTGAACACTTCACTAGCAAGAAAACAGTTAAAGAGAGCATCTACAGCGCAAGAATGAGAGATAAGCCTCCTCATTCTTTACTTTCACTTTCACTCTTGTTGATAGGGAAACTTGTTGTACGCACAGACATGCATTAGCCTATACATAATTAGTTTTGTTTGTTGTGTGTAGCGCAAAGGTTTGTGTTAAAACTATTTCTAAATTTAGTTCTAATTTCCAGCAAACAAATAAATGAATAAAAATAATGAAGTGTGAGGTATACCCAAATACACAAGCTACACCCCATAGGGTCTAAAACCTGACAGGTGGGCAAATCTAAGCTTGTTTTTAAATAAAACAAATATAAATATGCATATAATAAATAATGATGCTAATAATAATAACATTATACAAAAGCAAATTGTTATGAATAAACTGAAAAAGCCTCCCGAGATGAAGAAGACATGAAAGTTTGTTTTTTATATTTATGTAGGCTAATAATAATAATCTGTTATATTTTAATCCTTTAATCCTTTAGAATATGTAAAGATATTCGTGTATTGCTTTACATCTTGTGTGTATTAAGGAGTGTAAGCAAGGTGCACAACTAAATCTCCCTGCGCTGGACTACAGACCTGCTTTGATCTGGTCTACTGAGCAGTCTATTATAGTTTCTCAAAATAGCAACGCGCCAGCAATGTGCCTTAACACGCCTCCTTTTTTAGACCAGAAAGCCTATGGGCGCACATATGAGCGCAAACGCATTTGCTACTTAAACAGCATCATGCGGCGAGGCAGTGGCGCAGTAGGTAGTGCTGTCGCCTCACAGCAAGAAGGTCGCTGGTTCGAACCACAGCTCAGTTGGCGTTTCTGTGTGGAGTTTGCATGTTCTCCCTGCCTTTGCGTGGGTTTCCTCCGGGTGCTCCGGTTTCCCCCACAGTCCAAAGACATGCGGTACAGGTGAATTGGGTAAGTTAAACTGTTCGTAGTGTATGAGTGTGTGTGTGAATGTTTGTGTTGCAGCAACCCCAGAGATGGGTTGCTGCTGGAAGGGCATCCGCTGTGTAAAAACTTGCTGGATAAGTTGGCGGTTCATTCCGCTGTGGCGCCCCCGGATTAATTAAGGGACTAAGCCGACAAGAAAATGAATGAATGAATGAACAGCATCATGCAAAACGTCAAACCACTATTGCGCCAATCTGAAACTAGCAAACAACAATTGCGTCGCGCCTTGCGCCGGGTGTATGATAGGGCCCTTAATGTTAATGAGAAATACCCCCCCCCCCCAAAAAAATCCAGGTCTTCACCTTTAAAAAAGACCTATTATGCATGAAGTTTCAGCTCAAAATACCACACAAATAATGTTTTATAACTCTTTGAAACTGTACATTTAAGGCTTTGATCCTAATTGTGCTGTTTCGTAGACTGTCGCTTTAAATTCAAATAGGATTGTGCTCTTTTCCAAAGAAGGCGGAGCTATAAATGCCTGCGTGAGCATAGCGGCAGATTCAAAACTGTAATGGCAGATGGCTGCTTCTAACTCAGGTAGTCTATGCTAATGAGGGAGAGACGGTCACTAGTGGGCGTGGCTTTTCCCCTCTGATGGCATGTACAAATGGAGATTGTCAATCAATGCGTTTCTGCAGTCTGTTTCTATCAACAGTGATTATAAAAATAGAAGTAATTCATTTTTTACCAAGCTAATTTATTTGCAAAGTATTGTCAAACCAATTTGGATTTTTTCTTAATTTGTTGGCATTTTTTGTAATTAACTCGTTTTACAAGATTGTTATGATGCATTTAACGGTCAATAGTCACATCGCAGGATTAGATTATTTAAGATGTTATTAAATATTATTACTTTTAAATGATTTATGCAATGAGGATCATGTTATTTTACATTTGATTGCTCAACTTCTGCACTTAGATGCTGTTGGACTTCCTAGAAAACCATAAAGCTGTTTATTTCACTTTCAGGGCCCTATCATACACCCGGCGCAGTGTGGCGCAATACGCAATAGTCTTTCGGTAGTTTCAGCTTGGCGCAAGAGTGATTTTGAGGCGTTGCACTACGTTGTTTAAATAGCAAATGCATTTGCGCTCATTTGTGCGCCCATAGGCGTTTTGGTGTAAAAAGGAAGGCGTTCTGAGGCAGACCGCTGGCGCGTTGCTATTTTGAGAAACTATAATAGATTTTTCATTAGACCAAAACTAACCCGGTCTAAACTCCAGCGCAGAGTTGCGCCTCACTTACACACTGCTTAATACACACAAGAGAGCAATAGGCAAATATCTTTACATATGAAAAAATGTAAATATTAAGGATATATATAGGATATAATAAGAATAGATATAGGATATAAATATAAAGGATTAAAATATTACAAAACATATTATTTTCTCGCCTACAGAAATATGAAAAATCACTGCTTTTATGTCTTCTTCATCTTGGGAGGCTTTTTCAGTTCATTCATAACAATTTGCTTTTGTATAATGTTATTATTAGCAGTATTATTTATTATATCCATATTTATATTTGTTTTATTAAAAACAAGCTTGGATTTGCCCACCTGTCAGGTTTTAGACCATATGGGGCATGGCAGGTGTATTTGGAAATAACTCAGTGTTTTGACCACACTTGGTTATTATTGTTCATTTATTCGTTTGCTAGAAATTTGAACTGAATTTAGAAATAGTTTTGAAACAAATATTTGCGCTTAACAAACAAATTAATTATTAATAGGCTTATTGATGTCTGTGCGTAAAGGTTTCCCTATCCAAGAGCGAAAGTGAAAGTAGATCCATTATCTCTCATTCACACGCAGTAGATGCTCTGTTTAACTGTTTTCTGTGAACTGTTTGCTTGTGAAATGCTCATTTTTTCCACTTAGACTTACTTTGCGTCCTGTAAATAGCGAATGCGCTCTTGGCGCGACACAGCTGGCTCTTAAAGGGAATGGGAGATGAGACTCTAATTGGTTTATTCTCAAAACACACCTATAACTCATAAAGAAAATAAACTCAACCCTTTTAGACCATGCGCCTTGGCGCAAAGCGCATTTTCCCACCCGTAAATTAGCAAAAATGCGTTCTGACACGCCCTGAAAGCGTTTGCGCCCTGTGTTTTGCGCTCTGCGCATGGACCGTCAAAATACAGCCCTTAAGTTTGCTCTGTATTTGTATATGCTAATGATTTATAATAATTTATGCAAATGCACTGCATAGAAAAAGACTTAATGATCTCATTTGATCTAAAACAGGGGTGTCCAAACCCGGTCCTAGAGGGCCATTCTCCTGCATCTTTTAGCTCCTACCCCAATTAAACACACCTGAACCGGCTAATTAAGCTCTTTCCAGGTATACTAGAAACTTTCAGGGAGGTGTGTTGAAGAAAGTTGGAGCTAAACTATGCAGGACACCGTCCCTCCAGGACCGAGTTTGGACACCCCTTATCTAAATGAATGAAATTATTAAAATCCTCATATATATCACAGCAAAACTAAATATCGCATAAGCTGCAGTTTGAGCTCTGACCTCTCCGATCTGCTGTAGTCGAAGGTCAACATCCGGAAGCATCCATGTGTCTTCACCCCTGGCTTTCCTCTCGGCCTTCCTCCGCTCCTCCTTCTCGAACTTCTCTTTAGCCTACAAACAAAAGATGGATTGGACAGAATTAGTGATTTCTGAAATGAGATGTGCATTATGGGCTGTTTAAATCCTAATTTGATTCCAAGCCTGCTGTTTCCGTCCGCGACGCAGGGCTGGGCATGTGCGCTGAGGCGATAAAGCTTTGTCAAGCCGCTTCCTGTCGTAAGATCATGCTAATGTAAATGTGTGCACAGAGAAAACCTAACACAGCTGGCGCAGCGATAACGCAATACCGGCATGCTACGTGCACCATTATGCAGTTCGTGAGGCTTTTTATTAATAGTTTTATTAGAAATTGTGATTTTTGGGTGAAGTATCCCTTAAAAAAAGTGTACTTCTGTTGTATGTCTTTTTGTGTTTATGTTGTCATTTAAAAGGTGTTTTTTGTTCTGATTTGTTTGAACAAAAAATTTGTTAATTAAAGGGACGGTTCACCTAAAATGAAAATTCAGTCATCATTTAATCACTCTTTACTTGTTGTTACAATCCTTTAGAAGTTTCTTTCTTCTGTTAAACACAAAGGAAGATACTTTGAAGAATGTTGAAAAACATTGACTTCCAAATGATCTTATTTTGTGTTTAACAGATAAAAAAAACTCATAAAGGTTTGGAATCACTTGAGGAAGAGTAAAACAGTGAGCAAATTTTCATTTTGTGGTGAATTCTGTCAATATTTACTCACTCCTCACTTGTTACAATAATTAAGCAGTTTTTTTTCTACTATTAAAAACAAAATAAGATGTTTTGAAGAATGTTAGAATCCTGTAACCATTGACTTTCATTGTATTTGTTTTTTCTTTCTTCTATGAAAGTCAATGGTCACAGGTTTTCAGCATTCTTCAAATTATTTTCTTTTGTGTTTAACAGAATAAAGAAACTCATAAAGGTTTGAAATCATGCGAGGAAGAATATATGGTGAGCAAATTTTCATTTTATTGTGAATTCTGGCATTATTTACTCACTCTTAACTTGACTACAATCATTTAGGAGTTTCTTTCTACTATTAAACACAAACTAAAATATTTTAAGAATGTTGGAAACCTGTAACCATTGACTTCCACTGTATTTGTGTTTTCCTTCTACGGGAGTTTCAGCATTATAATAGGTTTTCAGCATTCTTCAAATTATCTTCTTTTGTGTTCAACAAAATAAAGAAACTCATAAAGGTTTGAAATCACATGAGGAAGAGTAAATAGTGAGCAAATTTTCATTTTTGGATTAATTCTGTCAATATTTACTCTTCACTTGCTACAATCATTTAGGAGATTCTTTCTTCTGTTGAACACAACAGAAGATATTTTGAAGAATGTTGAAAACCTGTAAACATTGATTTCCATAGTTTTTTTTCTATGGAAGTCAATGGTAATAGGTTTTCAGCATTTTTCAAATTATTTTCTTCTGTGTTCAACAGATAAAGAAACTCATAAAGGTTTTTAATCACTTAAGGAAGAGTAAATAGTGAGCAAATTTTCATTTTGGGGTGAATTCTGCCATCATTTACTCAGTCTTTACTTGTTGCAATCCTTCAGGAGTTTTCTGTTATACACAAAAGAAGATATTTTGAAGAATGCTGGAAACCTGTAACCATTGACTTCCATAATATTTATTTTTCCTTCTATTGAAGTCAATGGTTACAGGTTTTTAGTTTTCTTCAAATTATCTTCTTTTGTGTTTAACAGAATAAAGAAACTCACAAAGGTTTTAAATCACTTGAGGAAAAGTAAATAGTGAGCAAATTTTCATTCTGGGGTGAATTCAGACAATATTTACTCTCTTCACTTGCCTACAATCCTTAAAGAGATTCCTTCTTCTATTAAACATAAAAGATAATATTTTGAAGAATGTTGGAAACCTGTAACCATTGACTTCTATAGTTTTTCCTCCTACGGAAGTCAAAGGTTACCAGTTATGAGCATTCTTTAAATTACCTTTCTTTGCATTTAACAGAATAAAGAAACTCATAAAGGTTTGAAATCACTTAAGAAAGAGTAAATAATGAGCAAATTTTCATAGCGTAAATTCAGGCAATATTTACCAAGTCTTCACTTGTTACAATCCTTTAGGAGTTTCTATTTCTGTTGGACACAAAAGAAGATACTTTAAAGAATGTTGAAAACCTCTAATCATTGATTTCCATAGTATCTGTTTTTCCCTCTATGGAAATCAGCAGTTTTCAGCATTCTTCAATTTATCTTCTTTTGTCTTCAGCAGACGATAGACACTTCTTGAGGGAGAGTAAATTTAAACCCATTTAATATTAATGTCATCTAAAAACATACCAAGACTTTTTAATTGTATACAGTATACTGTTTCAAATCATGTTTTTTATCATTTATTTTATTTTTAATTTGCACATTATATAGATATACATCCAATAATGTGTACAGTAATATACCTTTACATACATTTACCAAATTTTATATTTTGATTCTCTATTTACTTGTTTTTTTCTTCCTCAATTGTTCCTTTAGTTTATCATTTGTCCTGTCACTCTCAAACAAATTCCTCATATGTGTAAACAAACCTGGCAGTAAAGCTCTTTCTGATTATGATTAATATAAACATGTGATATCTGTCATATTTAAATGCCATTATATTAATTATTAAAACATCATTTGATGTCAGTGTGAGCTATTTTAGACCATTAATTTAGTCTAGTTTAATTTTAGGAATCGTGTTACGTTATTTAGACATTTGAGTTTTTAAATTAATTTTTAGCATTATTTATTTTAGATTAGCTTCAGTAATTTTAATAAATCAGCTTAAAATATTTTATTTAGCCACCTAGAAATTTAAAAGTATGATTTGTTTTATTTTTTTTCCTCTTAATAATTATATTTTATTTACAATAAAACAAATAAAATTGTATTTTTGAACCAATAATAAAAACATTAATAATAATAATAATAATAATAATAATAATAATAATAATGATGTTTTTATATGTTTTAGTTTTGGTTAATCTAAACAATAATCTCCCTCAGAAACAGGAAGCTATCAAGAAATAAAAGAGGAAATCCCAAAATAATGCTTGAAATAAATTAAAATGTAACAAAGAGCGGATGAGTGTGTGTTATCAGGTGAGGACAGATGTACTCATCCTGTGTGAACGGCAGCCAGTTAAACAGATCAGCGATGTTTATATTCATCAACTCATCATAAGTCCTCAAAAAAAGAAAAAAAGAGACATATTTCAGAAAACAGCTCTAATATAGGAAGTCTTTTCTGCACTGCAAATGAAAATATGATGCATGTTTTTTTTAACACGGATGACTGGAACATGAATCATTATTTGCTTACATAAAGCCAAGAGTTAATTCTTAAATCAGAATTCATTCATACTCATTAGCTATATAGACACATTTAAAATATTCTATTATGTTGATTATTAATTAATCTGAAATATGTTGAACATTATCCAAATTAACACTATTTTCGATGAGTGTTCAACAGCTGCTAATCCCAGGACAATCCTCAAATCTATATAATCCAGTATGAACTCTTAGCGCCCTCTGCAGGTACATTAATGACAGTTCAGTTCACAGTGGTAGACTGATATCAACCAGCAGATAAATCAACATTCATTCCCTCTCCTTCAGCTTGGTCCCTTATTTATCAGGGGTCGCCACAGCGGAATGAACCTCCAACTATTCCAGCATATGTTTTATGCAGCAATTGCCCTTCCAGCCGCAAACCAGTACTGGGAAAACACGCATACACACACACACACTCATACACTACGGACAATTTAGTGTATTCAACTTCCCTATAGCGCATGTGTTTGGACTGTGGGAGAAACTGGAACACCTAGAGGAAACCCACACCAACACGAGGAGAACATGCAAACTCCACACAGGAACGCCAACTGACCCATCCGCAACTCGAATCAGCGACCTTCTTGCTGTGAGGCCACAGTGCTAACCACTGAGCTACCATGCCACCGAATAATCAACAGCGTCTGATTATTTTATATAAACTATGATCAACTAATAGTTGTGACTACTTGGCCAACTAACAGAACTGTCTCTTTCAAAGAAAAATAGACTCTTTACATATATATATATATTTCAGTGCTGGGCAAAGATTATCGCTATTAATCACATCCAAAATAAAAGTTTGTTTTAACAAATATATGTGTGGGTTTTTTATTTGTAATATGTATATGTGATACAATTACACACCCATTACACCAAGTTTTTAATCTGGAAATGAACAAATAACAACTAAAATTGCAGCTTAATTATTTGAAGCGTTCATTTTGTCACAGATTTTTTTCTGACGGATATTGCAATGTGGTTTATATATCTATCTATCTATCTATCTATCTATCTATCTATCTATCTATCTATATATATATATATATATATATATATATATATATATATATATATATATATATATATATATATATATATATGAGCAATATCACACTCGTAGCAGTGTGCTATGGCTGTATATCAGCACTGGTTGGGCACTAAGCTTGGCCTACGGCCGCGTGCTAACGCACGCCTCCCACCAGTGCTGATATATCAGCATATCTATATGCTGATATATATATATAAACCACATTGCAATATCAGTCAGAAAAAAAATCTGTGACAAAATTAATGCTTCAAATAATTAAAGCTGCAATTTTAGTTGTTATTTGTTCATTTCCAGATTAAAAACTTGGTGTACTGGAATGCTATTTTTGAAAACAGAAAAAAATTAATATTTTCTCAGAGATCAACCAAAACATTTTTCAAAACATGGGACCCTGTTATATTTCATATTGAGACTAATGTACTCCTCCAACCATAAATTCCCAACCCCCCCCACCCACCCTTTTTATTTTTTATTATTTTTTTATTTTATTTATTTAAATATTTTTATTTATTTATTTTTTTTGCAATTTTACTTTATTTTCATTTTTATTATTATTAATATATTTTTTTATTTAATGCATTTCCTTTTCATAAAAATTTTTATTATGTTAATTTGTCTCTTTTTCAAATTTATGTATGGTTCAAAAAAAAAGAAAAAAAAAGAAAATACCTTTGTAATTGAATACCTTTAATGTACTGTACTTTTTGTCAAAAACACAATAAAAAAAATCAATAAAAAAAACTTGGTGTAATGGGTTTGTATTATATTTTTGTGTGCAGTGTTGTATTAAGTGTGAATTAACATTTTCAGGCAAATTTAATAATCACTTTTTTTACCACGATAATATAATGATTAATGATAACCATGTGAATTTTGGTCACTATAATAATGACAGGACATTAATGATAGGACATGTTCATAGTTACATCTATAGTTTTCATCTATAGTTTGTAGAAGTTCACAATATATATATATATATATATATATATATAAACCACATTGCAATATCAGTCAGAGAAAAATCAGTCACAAAATGAATGCTTCAAATAATTAAAGCTACAATTTTAGAGGTTCATTGTTCATTTTCATATTGAAAACTTGGTGGAATGAGTGTGTATTATGTTTTTGTGTGCAGTGAGCATGAATTAACATTTTCAGGCAAATTTAATAATCACATTTTTACCACGTTAATATAATGATATTTAAAAGCGATGAGAATTTTGGTCACTATACTAATAATAGGACATTTTTATACAGTTAAATCTATATTTTCTAGTTCCTAGATTGTTGAAGTGTGCATTATAATAAATCATAGTAAAACTGCATTTCCACCACAGACTGTGGCTCAGATTTTCAAGCTAAATCAATTCCAAAATGTTTACATTTTGATTTCTCTGTACATTAGAGTGTATCCTGTTTTATTTTTTTAAGCAAAAACCATCATCTTAAATATTACCTGATATACAGAAAAAAAAGTTTTAAATGTTCTTCAGTATCATGTTATATAAACAATAATTAATATACCAAACATCTTGTCACGTATATCAACAAGAACCATTTGGCAATATAAAAACTCTATCGAAGCATCCCAGAAAGCTTAATTTATAAAAACATTTCATAAGTAGGACAGGTCAGAACAAGCATGCCGTTTAATTATTTCCCATAAATACATCACAGTTATGCTTAATGGATGGAACTCGAATTTGTGGCGTTTTTATTTGCAATTATTATGCTTTCCATGTACATAAACATAATAATATGATGTCGTATCCGTAAATCATTTACGAATTTGACGAGCATAGTAAACGAATATCCTTTTAAAAGTATATTATTAAATCCAATAACATATCACCATTTAAGCTTTCGGAAACAAATCTATTACTATTATTTAAAATCCTATTTGTTGTTCTCGGTATGGTTTACACATTTAAACAAATATTATTTATATGATATATTTCCTTAAAGGATATGAGATATTAAATATTTGATCAACTTCAGTCACCATTAAAATGCTGATAACAGTTATGTCATAACGTTACAAGTAAATACAACAAAATAAACATAAATATTAGACAAATGACTTCAGATGTTATGAGATCAAGACTGAAACATCATTTATAGCACTTAAAACACACTGAAAATCTCAAATACTAGCCTAAAAACAGACAAACTCGGAATGAGACAGCATATTTAAAGACGGTATATATATTAAAGCGGAATGTTTATTTTGTAATAGCACATATAAAGAACAAGATCAGTTTCCTCTTGTGTAAACTCAAATTCTGACTCCATAACAGTTTAACGTGTTAGTAAGTATGCGTTACCTTTTGTATAACTCGCTCTCTTTCTTCTCTTTTGGACTCTTTTCTTGATTTAATGCTGTTTGCGCTCTCAAAATTCACACCGTACGCCGCCATGACGCTGCCGCAAACACAACCTCTACTGTCGTAAGTGTTTGCCGTAATTCAGCGTTTAAAAAATACTTGATGGATTTCCGCCGGGTGGCGCTGAAAGAAGAAACATCATTCAATCCTTAGTACGTTTTCGGAGACATGTTTACAGTTCAGCCATATTTGGATGATTTTGTTATGCAGGATTAGAGGAAATCTAGTAGCAAAAAACGTAGTAGCGGATACCGTTTTCGCGACAGTGAAGAACACGTTTGAGGCAGCGTTCAGATCGTATGCTGTGCGATTAAATCGCTTAAAATCCATTAAATACTCAAAACCAGAGGAGAAACGAGTGTACTACTAAAGGTAAAACAGATAAAGTCTTTAAAATAGTATTTACTATACATGTTGGCTATATCTATTAATTCTATGTCGTGTTTATATATGATGATAGCTCAGTAATAACGTAAACAAAGCTAACGTTACCTTAACTTACGTTACATTAATAACGTTACGATCAATACAAAATGACTTTTTAGGTTATTTTATTAGTTTTATTCATCTTTTAAGCTTTATTATGATGCTATTTTATCTCTGTTTTTAGTGAAAAGTAATCACTTCCATCATAAATGAACAATTTTGTTTTTAAAAAAAGCCAACGTTACATTACATTAATTGAATAGCATTACGATCAATACAAAAACAGCGTTTTAGGTTATGTTATGAGATTTATTAATCCTTTCAACTTTATTATTCAGTCAAACGTAATCACTTCCATCATAAATGACCAATTTAGTTTAAAAAAGCTAACGTTACGTTACATGAATAACGTTACGCTCAATACAAAAACTTTTTAGGTTATGAGATTTATTACTGCTTTCAGCTTTATTATGGTGATAATTTATCACTAGTTTCAGTCAAAAGTAATCACTTCCATCATAAATGACCAATTTTGTTTAAAAAAGCTAACATTGTTACATTACATAAATGACGTTATGATCATCAATACAAAAAATCATTTTTAGATTCATTCATTCATTTTCTTGTCGGCTTAGTCCCTTTATTAATCCGGGCTCGCCACAGCGGAATGAACCGCCAACTTATCCAGCAAGTTTTTACACAGTGGATGCCCTTCCAGCCGCAACCCATATCTGGAAAACATCCGCACAACACATTCATACACTACGGACAATTTAGCCTACCCAATTCACCTGAACCGCATGTCTTTGGACTGTGGGGGAAACCGGAGCACCCGGAGGAAACCCACGCGAAGGCAGGGAGAACATGCAAACTCCACACAGAAACGCCAACTGAGCCGAGGTTCAAACCAGCGACCTTCTTGCTGTGAGGCGACAGCACTACCTACTGCGCCACTGCCTTGTCCAATTTTTAGATTATGTTGAGATTTATTAATGCTTTCAGCATTATTATGATTCTAATTTATCTTTTTTTCAGTCAAACTAAATTACTTCCATGACCAATTTTTTTGAAAAAAAGCCAACATTACATTACATAAATAATATTACAATCAATACAAAAATGACTTTGAGGTTATGTTTTGAGACTTATTAATCTTTTAAGCTTAATTCATTTATTCATTCATTTTCTTGTCGGCTTAGTCCCTTTAGTAATCCGGGGTCGCCACAGTGGAATGAACCGCCAACTTATCCAGCAAGTTTTTACGCTGCGGAAGCCCTTCCAGCCGCAACCCATCTCTGGGAAACTTTTAAGCTTAATTATAATGATAATTTATCACTTTTTTCAGTCAAACGTAATCACTCTATCATAATTGACCAATTTTGTTAAAAAAAAAAAGCCATTGTTACATTACATGAATGACGTTAGGATCAATACAAAAACGAGTTTTTAGGTTACGTTATGAGATTTATTAATGCTATCAGCATTATTATGATGCTAATTTCTCACGGTTTTCAGTCAAACGTAATAACGTCCATCATAAATGACACTTTTTGTTAAATAAAGGGGGTTTTGTGGAACAAGTGAAGAAGAATGGCTTTCAGTCTGTTCTGGTATATTTTTGTGGTCCTCTCCTAACATTCCTTTTGTCAGTATGTGGATAGATCAGATTGCCATTTTCTTACCCTTGGAAAAACTGACTTATGACTTGCATCAGAAATCCGATGATTTCTGGCATATCTGTAGTCCTCTGTGGGAGTTTTTGGAGAATGTGTCTTGAAAGACTTGAATATCTTGAATTTCTTTATTCTTTGTTAATTTTACCCTTCATAAAAGACTTAAATTACTAGCCGATGGATGATTGTATAATAGATGGCTTTATTATTGTATATGATCACACACTGAAAAAAATTATGTCTGCAAAACTGTTGCAAGCAATTTATTTGTGTTGAATTTAAACAAACAAATTACATTTTATAAAATTCTACTTAATTTATTTGTTTAAATTCAGCCCAAATAAATTGTTTATAGCCATTTAACGTAAAACATTTTTAGTAAATCCAAGGAATAATTTTTTTCAGTGCATGAGACCACTTTTCTGTGATTGTAAATCTTTAAATAAATGTTTAAAAAAATAATAAAAAAGGGGGGTTTTGTGTATGTTGCGTTCAACTTTTGTGCTTATAAAGTGTATTACATCAGGTTTACACATAATTATGCGTATTACATAAGCCAATCTAAGGAGAAAATATGCAATAATACAAGCATTGTAATAAAACATTAGAAAATACATTTGAGTTATTGTATTTTTTAATGTGTATATATATTTTATTCCTTCAGGTCGTACATTTACAACTGAGGCTACATTCCAGTCATCCTTTGAGGGACCAAACAAACAGGAGAAAATCAAGTGTAACAACAGAAACACATTTACCATGTTTGCTATAGTAAAAACTGAGTGTGTTGAAGAGGAGATTGACTACACGAGTGACCCAGAACCATCCAGAATCAAAGATGAAGATACTGAAGACACTGACGAAGACACAGGTTGGTGTTCAAAATCATTTTCACATACCCAGATAATACAAAATATGTATAACAATGCAATTTATAAATGTTTCTCGAACATTCCCAGCAAATCGCTTTTAATCCTCTTACGTATGCACTCAGTACTAGCAGCTTTTTCCATGCAACACTTTTTCATTATCACATCGTATTCAACTTTCATATTTATACTAATTACCAATTTAAATATATGTAAATACACTGCTACCAATGCACTTCTGGTTAGGTTCTGGCTGTATTTTGTTGTTTGTTCTGTAATGTGCAATGACAATAAAGTTTATCTAATCTAATCAATATGCTGATATGTGCAAAACATAGTATACTTTGGTCTTTAACTGATGCCTCTGTCGTTTTGCATTGTATTTAGATATGTGTAGATATGACATAACTATGGTTGCAGACATTGTGAGAGCATGAAATGAAATAAATGTACAAATACAATCAAATGAACAAATGTGAAAGCAACCAATGTTTCTAATAAGCTGGATAAGTGCAGTGAGCTTATATTAAAACAGTTTACTTTCGTATTGATTGGATTAGGACATCAAATAATGTTCACTGAATTATTGATACTTTTTGTCATTTTATTTTCATGTTTATTCTACACTTGATGGACGAATAAAAAGGCAGTAAACAATTGGAGCACATGTTATTACATTTATTTACTTTTCATATTTTTGCGTGTTTACTGTTGACTTAATAAAAATAAAACAAGAAAGTATATCATGTACATTTCAGAAATATACATGTGAGCAACTGGGCACATCAAATACATGGGGCTCTATTTTGACGATCTAGGCGCAAAGTTTAAAGCGCAGGGCGCAAAAGCATTAAGGGCGTGTCAGAATCCACTTTTGCTATTTTAACAATAGAAAAATCCACTTTGCACTGTGGCGCATGGTCTAACAGGGTTGAGCTTATTCTCTTAATGAGTCACAGGTGTGTTTTGAGAATAAACCAATCAGAGTCTCTTCTCCCATTCCTTTTTAGGCCATGTTTACACTAATGCGTTTTCGTTTTAAAACGCATAAGTTTTGCTACGGTTATGCCATCCGTCCACACTACACCAGAGTTCTCGAGCGCCGAAAACGGAGAGTTTTGAAAATGCTGGAGAGGCCGTTTTCATTTTAAAACTCTTCTGCACCATCTCAGTGTGGATGAGAAAAAAACGGAGACATCTGAAAATGGAGGTGGGACTGCTGAGAATCACTACCTGATTGGGGCTTTTGTGTCATTACGTATCCTTCCCTTATTCGTCAAGCCCATATCACATGACTATAACACATGGCTTTAATGCTACCGGAAGACAGCAGATCAGCCTTCACTGTAAACAACAACACGGACACAGAAACGGGAGCGTTGTTTGCACTATTGTCTGTTTTAGGCGCCATTGTGCAGTTATTCATTTGTTACGTTTAGTAACAACTCGACCTCGTCGTCTGTCCACAAAAATACCTCTCTTGCTTTCTTTGCCACCGCGTTTAATGTTCAACCGGCGTTTGTTGACTAACAATAACCAAATGCCGAGCGAGACACATGCTTTCTGTTTATACTTGAACGCGCATGCCCAGAGTGCGCGAATGGTCACGTGATATACGTTTTTGGTTGCGTAGTGTGGACGGAGATATGTTCAGAAACGCTAGGTGAAACGCTAGTGTGGACGCGGATCATTTTTGATCTAAAACGCCGTTTTATAACTAAAACACACTAGTGTAAACGGGGCCTTAGAGTCACGTCGTTCCAGAGCATTTGCTATTTACATGGCGGACTTTGTAAGTGGAAAAACTGAACACTTCACCAGCAAGAAAACAGTTAAACAGAGCATCTGTAGCATGAAGGCTGATTTATACTTCTGCGTCAAGTGCACACGTATGCTATGGCACAGCCTACGCGTGGACGCATATCCTTTCGACGTGGCAAAAAATGTAACGCGTAGTGCAAGCTCTGTGATTGGTCGGCTTGGTAGTGCTGACGAGTGTGGGTGGAGGTAAGAGCCACGCGAGCGTTATGCAGCAGGTGTTCCCACCTCAAAATGAGTGAAGAAATAAATAAACAAATAAATGAAAAATAATAATGAAGTGTGCTCAAACAACTGAGTTCTGTCCAGATACACATGCTGTACCCCATATGGTCAGTAAATTGCAAATTGTCATGAATAAACTAAAAAAAAGCCCCCCTCCACCCTAAATGTAATTATTTAATAATTTTTCATTTGTAAAGATATTTGATATTTCTCTACATCCTGTGTGTATTAAGCAAGGTGCACAACTAACGCGCTCTGCGCTCTCAGCTGTTCTACTGTGCAGTCTATTTTAGTTCCTCAAAATAGCAACGCTCCAGCAATGCGCCTTAACACACCTCTTTTATGAGCACAAATGCTCTGCCATTTAAACAGTGTGGTGCGAAACGTCAAAATGACACTTGCGTCGAACTGAAACTAGCAAACCACAATTGCATCGCACCTTGCGCCGGATGTATGATAGGGCCCATGATATTTATAAATCGTTTTTTAAACTTTTTGCACGTTTAATGCAGACTCGACAGATATAAAAGAAAAAAAGTGAAGAACTGCTTCAAATTAAATACAATAGTATTAAATAGTTTTTAAAATAGGTTTTGCATGTTTTTTGTTGTCTTGACAAACAAAGTGAGCTACTGGAGCACATAAAATACATAATGCTAATAAATTAATTTTTAAAAAATATTTTGCATGTTTAGTGCAGACTTGACAGACAAAAAAACGTGAAGAACTGATTCAAATTAAATGCAAAAGTTATAAAAAATTTTATAATCTTGGATGTTCACTGTTTACTTGATGATGTAAAAAAAAATTGCTCAGTTTATGAATATTAATAATCAATTATAACAGGTTATTATAATAATGGGTTATTATAATCTTGGATGTTCACTGTTTACTTGATGTAAAAAAAATTAGCTCAGTTTATGAATATTAATAATCAATATTAACGGGTTATTATTAATTATTAATATTCCGGCTTAACCTTCTGTCAATTTGGTTAAACAAATCTATAAATATATATGATTCTGCCTGCTCGACCGAGCGGACGCTGGAAGTCCTTTTGTGTCCTTTCTTGATGCGTGGAGTTTGCAATACAGGTCGGAGAAACGCGATCGCAACTCTAAACTGAGCTTACTTTGCCAGAAAAATAAGAAAACGTGGGCTGGAAGATCCACGCGGCACAGAAGAGCCTCGACCCCTCAAAGGAGCGAGCTCCCGGGGGGATTTGTGGTTCGGACTTTCTGCCTCGAGCTTGGGGAGGAGACCGGTTTTAACCGTGGGCTAAGTCAGTGGTTCCCAACCTTTTTTCTTTGGGGCCCCCCCCATAAACATATACAAACACTGGAGCCCCCCCACCATATAAATACACACGCACGCACGCACGCACACACATATGTACTGTGTGTATATATATATATATATATATATATGTGTGTGTTTGTGTAATATTAATATATAGTAATATGTATAGAAAATATTAATTAATCAGTTTTAACTTGTCTTGGCCTTCAATGAAACCAAAATTTAGGTAGGCTTTGTCATACTGTCTAATCTTTTTCTTCGCCTCTGAAGAATCACTGCATTTACGTTTGTCTGCCATTTTTGTTTTGATTTTGCCTTTACGACACGTTGACAAGCAGATTTCCCGAGTGAGCAAAATTTTAATAATTATTTAAAGTTATTTATTTTAATTATTTTCACTATTATGTTGGAATTTTAAGCATGTGTTTAGATTATTTTTTATTTTTTGGGCTGCTCGATTTTGGGAAAAATCATAATCGCGATTATTTTGGTCATAATTATAATCACGATTATTCAAAACCATTGCCAGTTAAAGTCAAAATTATTAGCGCTCCTGAGATTTTTTTTTTTATAAATATTTCCCAAATTATGTTTAACAGAGCAAGGAATTTTAACAATATTTCCTATAATATTTTTTCTTCTATTTGTTTTATTTTAGCTAGAATAAAGACAGGTTTAAATATTTTAAAACCAATTTAAGGTCAATATTATTAGCCCCCTTAAGCAATATATATTTTTGATTGTCTGCAGAAGAAACTACCGTTATAATGACTTGCCTTATTACTCTAATTAAGCCTTTGAACTGCACTTTAATCTGAATGCTTGTATTTTGAAAAATAACTAGTAAAATATTATGTGCTGTCATTATAGCAAAGACAAAAAGAAATCAGTAATTAGAAATGAGATATCAAAACTATTATGTTCAGAAATAAGTTAATAAAATATTCTTTCCATGAAACAGAAATTGGGCAGGAAAAGGTTTGCTAATTTTCAAGAGGGCTAATAATTCTGACTTCAACTGTATACATACAGTTATTTTCCACCCTGCAAAGGAAAGAGAAATAAATACAATAGAATAAAAATATGAAACAAACTGTGCTTTAATCATCTTCACTGTAAGAAAAACACTTTAGCTACAGCAGTCCTTCAGTCAAGAGCAGCAAAGGTTTTCTCGTTATGTTTGTTTAATAATAATAAAAACAGGCGGCAGAAGGATTATAGCGCGCTGTATCTTTAATGGTTTCTCTTTCACGTCTTTTGATTCTCAACTCGTTTGTTTATAACACAAATGAGGGTTAATGTACATAATCACTAAACACCGTGTTTTAACACCTATTTGACCATTAAAGCGTTCACGTTAAGATGACTTCAGATGTCTGCGCTCCTCTGCTCGTCTCAGTGTGCGAATGAGAGTGAGTGCTGACCGGCCGCATGCTTCTGACTGCGTGATCGTGCTGCACACACACATAAGCTCTTTCGCGCTTTTAAGAGCAACACGTGTACAACTGTGGCGAAATATGATGCAATAATCATTTATCTCGATTAATGCTTTTTTATAATCGTTTGAAACCGAAATCTAAATCGGATTTTCGATTAATTGCAAAGCCCTTTATAATAGTGGACCATTTTTATGCCTTTTTCTACCTCAATACTTATCCTCTCCCGCGCCCCCCCTGTGAACTCTGGCGCCCCCCTTAGGGGGGCGCGGACCCCAGGTTGGGAACCACTGGGCTAAGTTACACGCCCTCTCAGCATGCTCGACCAATGATTTCAGGCCAAAGTTTAAGCGCGAAACTCTCCTCTGTCTCTAGGCTGCTCATATGCAAATTGAGGGTCCTCCCGCAGCCTAAGGATGGTCTTTAATTCAGGGCATTAAAGAATGCATGCCGTACGAGTTATTATCATGCTTCACGCATCATGTGTTGTAAAGTTTCAAGGGGAGTCTATCGCTACCAAACATGGCTTTTAAAAAAGTACATAAACATAATTCCCACATCCTTACATCTTTGTTGCTTTAAAAAGAATGTCTTTGAAGCTCTAGTCACCCGTCTCTGGCCTACCTCTAGATAAAGTGAAGTGTCACCAGAAACACAGACTTTGTGGCACCAGGAGTCGTAAACCCACACCAGAGACTCAGACCCCTTTATAAAATCAATACGTAGTTTTATCTATTGACCGTACGCTACAATGAACATAAATAAAGTGAGCAACTGGAGCACATCAAACACATGCTGTCATTAAATAGTCTTTTCTACATTTTGCCCATTTATTTCAGACTCGACAGACATAAAAGAAGAAAGCGAAGAACAAGAAGAGGCGGAGGAGAAAGATCCACATCAGAAACCTTTCACACCCGAAGAAATGGCTCCAGAGCGATCTAAAAACACCAAAGCCAAAGGCTCCTTCATGTGCCCTCAATGCGGAAAGAGCTTCACTCGCCGAGACAGCCTGAAGGAGCATTCACGCATTCACACCGGTGAGAAACCGTACACGTGCCATTACTGCGGAAAGTGTTTCACGCGCAACGAAAGCCTGAAGCATCACATACGAATTCACACCGGAGAGAAACCATTTGAATGTCAACAATGCGGGAAGAGTTTCACCTTTAAAAAGAGCCTGAAGGTTCACGAAAGAATCCACTCGAGAGAGAAACTCTTCATCTGCACTCAGTGCGGAAAGGGTTTAACCTGTAAAAAGGGTCTGGAGGACCACCTAAGAGCGCACACTGGAGTAAAGCCCTTCAAATGCCTTCACTGCGGGAAGATGTTTAAATGGGCTCACAGTCTTACCTATCACCTGCACACGCATTCAGGAGACAAGCCTTTTAAATGCGTCCACTGCGGCGAAGGGTATATATCTCCGTCCATTCTGAGGAACCACATGAAGGTTCACACTGATGAGAAACCGTATGCGTGCACTATTTGCGGAAAGAAGTTTTTGTGGCTGGGCAATTTCAAGGATCACCAGAAAAGACATACCGGCGAGCGAGATCAGCAGTGTGCAGAGTGCGGCAAGGGTTTTACCACATCCAAACGCCTGAAGGAGCACCAGAAGATTCACAGTGGGGAAAAACCCTACAAGTGTTCGCAGTGTGACAAGTGCTTCACCCAGTCCGGGTCGTTGAAATGCCATCTGCGGGTTCACACTGGGGAAAGGCCGTTTAAATGCCCGTCGTGTGGGAGGAACTTCTCGCAGCTGACCAATCTGATCACTCACGTTAAAAAATACTGCAAGAAAGCGTCAAAGTGAAATGGGAATTGGATAAGAGTTGATTATGGTCATGATTCAATAGCTGGGTTTCCATACTAAAGTGAAACCATGCTTATCAATCACCCCCCTTTGGCTTATTCCCTGCTTTATAAGGGGTCGCCACAGTGGAATGAACCACCAGTTATTCCGTTATCTGTTTTTTTTTTCCCAGCTGCAACCCAAACCCAAAAGTACATCTCTCTCATTCACACACTGCATCCAATTTAGAAATCGTCACATTAAATTGGAAATCTGATGGGTGTTAACTAAGTGGTTGATTCAATAGTCAGGTTTCCATACTAACATCAATCAATGCTTAATAATCATATAAGGGGTTGTCACTGTGGAATGAACCACCACTTATTCTGGCATGTGTTTTATTTTTTTGCAGCGGATGTTCTCCAGCCGCAATATGGCACCCTCATTGCAACCCTCAGTGCTGGAAAACACCCACATGCTCTCTCATTTACGTACTACATCCAATTTAGAAAGCGTAGAAGGGAATTGGAAATTGGATGGGAGTTGATTTTGTCGATGGTTCAATATCTGGGTTTCCATACTAACGTGAATCAATGCTTATCAATCGTCCACCATCGGCTCATTCCCTGCTTTATCAGGGGTTGCCACAGTGGAATGAACCGCCAATTATTCCAGCATGTGTTTTTTCACAGCGGTTGCTTTTACAGCTGCAACATGGCACTAAGAAAACAACCCTCCGTGCTGGGAAACACCCATACACACTCTCATTTACATACTACATCCAATTTAGAAAGCGTCGCAGTGAAATGGGAATTGGATGGGAGTTGATTTTGTCGATGGTTCAATATCTGGGTTTCCATACTAACATGAATCAATGCTTATTTATCACCCCGCTTTGGCTCATTCCCTGCTTTATCAGGGCTCGCCACAGTGGAATGAACCACCAATTATTCCAGCATGTGTTTTTTCACAGCGGTTGCTTTTACAGTCGCAACATGGCACTAAGAAAACAACCCTCAGCGCTGGGAAACACCCATACACACTCTCATTTACATACTACATCCAATTTAGAAATAGTCGCAGTGAAATGGAAATTGGATAGGTGTTAATTAAGTGAATATTTCAATATCTGGGTTTCCATACTAACATGAATCAATGCTTATTAATCGTCCACCTTCGGCTCATTCCCTGCTTTATCAGGGGTCGCCACAGTGGAATGAACCGCCAATTATTCCGGCATGTGTTTTTCCACAGCCGTTGCTTTTACAGCCGCAACATTGCACTAGGAAAACAACCCTCAGTGCTGGGAAACACCCATACACGCTCTCATTTACATACTACATCCAATTTAGAAATAGTCGCAGTGAAATGGGAATTGGATGGGAGTTGATTACGTGGATGATTCAATAGCTGGGTTTCTATACTAATGTGAAACTATGCTTATTAATAACCAACCTTTTGCTTATTCCCTGCTTTATCAGGGGTTGTCACAGTGGAATGAACCACCAATTACGCTGGCATCTGTTTTTTTTTTGTTTTCAGCAGGTGCCCTTCCAGCTGCAACCCAGGACTAAGAGTACAACTCTCTCATTCATATAATACATCCAATTTCGCTGGGTGTTTATTAAGTGGCTGATTCAACAATGCTTATTAATCATCCACCTTCAGCTCATTTCCTGCTTTATAAGGGGTTGTCACAGTGAAATGAACCACCATTTATTCTGGCATGTGTTTTTTTTTTCACAGCAGATGTTTTCCAGCTGCAACCCGGCACTATGGGTACAACCCTCAGTGCTGGGAAACACCCATATACTCTCTCATTCACACACTACATCTAATTTAGAAATCGTTGAAGTGAAATGGGAACTGGCACTGAGTACAACCCTCAGTGCTGGGAAACACCCACACGCTCACATACTATATTTAATTTTTGGAATCGTAGCAGTGAAATGGAAATTCGATGGGTATAGGTCAATCAATCAATCAACTTTTATTTATTTAGCACTTTACTACAACCAAGGTTGACCAAAGTGTTTTAAACAAGTAAAAGCAAATTATACAACAGAAAAGGAGACGATGCAAAACAAAACAAAAAATATCAGTAAAATCCAACAAACATTAAAACATAAGTGTCAGCGCTATGCAATAAAAGCCAATTTAAACAAGTGGGACTTAAGCTTGGCTTTAAAAAGTGGCAGGTCAGTGATTGTACGATGCTCAGCAGGATAGGTTTCCATTCCAACGTGAAACAATGCTTGTTAATCACTCACCTTAAGCTTTTTCCCTCCTTTATCAGGTGTTTGCCACAGTAGAATGAACCACCAATTATTCTGGCATTTATTTTACACAGCTGTTGCCCTTCCAGCTGCAACCTGGGACTGAGTGCAACCCTCAGTGCTGGGAAACACCCGCGCTCTCATTACATTACTCATCACTTATTCACACACTATCAATTTAGGCCCTGTCCACACGAACACGAAAATTTTCAAAACTTTTTTTTTTCTTTGTGGTTTTACTGTTTGTCCACTCAAAAATGCAGTGTGTCAGGTGACTGAAAATAAAACTATCTGAAAACTCTGGCCAGGGTGAAGATTTTTTCCAAAACTCCTGATACAGTGTGGTTGTGCGGACGCTACAGCCCGAGTTTTCGCCACATGACATCAACATAGCAGCTGTTTTCTTCTTTCTGATTGGCCAACACAGCTGGAAGATGCAAATGAGGCAAACTCCAAACATTCGCTGCAAATGCATCGCATATGTGATGTTCTTCGCACTGCGGGGCGGTAATCCACTTCTGTTCTCATGTTTGCATTTATTTGTATGCTATCCACTCGTCCAAACACTTAATTTCCAGTTTGGTGTGAACTTAGCATAAAAGTGTCATTATCGCCACCTGTTGGTTCGACATGCCCTTAACATGCATCACAGTGCGTTTTTGCATTTTTACAAGATTTTTTTTATAATGAAAGCAGAGAAGGAAAACCCCATTTATAAAAAATACTCTTGAACGTGTGGACATGGCCTTAGTTTATCTAATTGACCTTACTCTTGACATGCGAGTGGATGCAGTAATTGAAATCTTTTTGGCTCGACACTTCCAGTCTCATTCACTTCCTTTGATTTTTAGATGTTAAAAACAGCTCATTATGCTGCTTGATGTTGCACACTGATCATTTCTCTTTTATTATATTATTCTACTCTTTATGTATAGTGATGAACACACTTGTATGTTTGTAGAGAAAGTAGTTTGATCTTTTTCAGCTATGTATTATTCCTGGTGGGCGAAGCAGTGGCGCAGTAGGTAGTGCTGCCGCCTCACAGCAAGAAGGTCGGTGGTTCGAGCCTCGGCTCAATTGGCGTTTCTGTGTGGAGTTTGCATGTTCTCCCTGCGTTCACGTGAGTTTGCTCCGGTTTCCCCCACAGTCCAAAGACATGCGGTACAGGTGAATTGGGTAGGCTAAATTGTCCGTAGTGTATGAGTGTGTGTGTGAATGTGTGTGTGGATGTTTCCCAGAGATGGGTTGTGGCTGGAAGGGCATCCGCTCCATAAAAACTTGCTGGATAAGTTGCCGGTTCATTCCTGTGTGGCAACCCCGGATTAATAAAGGAACTAAGCCGACAAGAAAATGAATGAATGTATGAATATTATTCCTGGTCATTTCTCACATAGCCAACTGAATTGCAAGTTTTAAAACAAATCACAAAAATGGTCGCTCTTCCCCGTTGCAGAATAAGGTCAATACTGCATGTCTTTGGACTGTGAGGGAAACATTAACTTTTCCAAAAACAAAACTTTTTTTGTGTGTGTGTGTGTGTGTGTGTGTGTGTGTGTGTGTGTGTGTGTGTGTGTGTGTGTGTGTCTGTGTGTGTGAATTAAGGGATTTTTAATTTATAATTTGCTGTTTCCCAAACAACCTCAATTGAGCATACATTTTTTTGCCCATTCATTAAGGGGATTTTATTTTAAATTTGGCATTTTTTTAGAACCACTTAAAGCGAGTGTCAAATTTTAATGTGGATTAAAGAGATTTTTAATTTAAAATGAGCATATTGATTGCTCATTTCTCATTTAGAAATGTTCACACTTCTACAACCAACTCAAGTTCAAGAGTTCACACTTAGCTGATGATTGATAGTAAAGCTAGTTTGGTGTGCTGTCCCGGGAGAGAGCCCTGAGCTTATAAGATCCTCGAGCCCTGGGCTCCCTCCCGTTGCAAGGCGAGAGGAGAGTTTGAGCTCAGGTAGATCTCGATGACTCTCCCTCCTGCTTGTTGTAGCTAAGTGTCAGATATGGATGCTGAAAGGTGTACTCAGAGTTTAGCTAAGGTATTTGGAATAATTTTTTAGGGTGCTTGTTTTTGAACCGTGGGAGGAAACCAGAGGACCCGGGGAAAACCCATGCGACCACGGGGAGAATGAGCAAACTCTGCACAGAAATGTCGTCTAGTGCGTCTGGTACCAGGGGCGTTCTTGCTGTGAGGCAACAGCGCTAATCGCTGGCCACCGTGTCGCCCGTTTGAAAGGGAGGGAAAGTAGGGGGGGGGGTTCTCAAGACGAAGATATTGGGATGAGAAAAGTCTGGTTATTTATAGTGAGTTAAGGATCGTCTGATAGGATAATCAGTCATTAGCTAAAGTTGGAACAGCTGTGAACAATCATAAGCACGTGATCCTCTCGAAATTTGTTTTTAAATAAACTTCACCAAGCGAAAAAAAACTTTTGCACGAATTAAAGGATTTATTATTAAATATAAATTAAGCATCTCCAAAACCACCTAAATCATAAAAATTATTTAGCAAATTAAGTTGTTATTATTCTATATTTAGCATGTCTATCTCATTCGAAATTTGAAACCAGGCTAATGATTTTCTCCCAAGCAATTTCTAACAAATGCTGCGTTCCAGTTTGCCTACTTAGCCTACGCCCTAAAAGCATGTACTCTCATTGTGAAGAAAAGTACATACTGAAGAGTGTTTGAAGCTTTGTGACAAACTACTTTCTCATTAATGGACTATTCTGTTGTTTAGTTTGCCCTGTCCACCACTCTAGCATAATTTCTTTTAAAGTGAATATCAAACCCATCGTCATGTTTTAATGATTTTAGTTTTTATTTTATGTTATTTTAGTTTTTTGTTTGTTTCTTTCGTTTATAATGTAATGTTTTGTTTTTGAGGGCTGGTGATTTTGATCAATGTCTGCACAATAAAAATAAACTGAAAGGAACCCAACGTTGACGTCAATCTTTTTATAATCCTCTTAGTCGCTGACATCATCTTCAACAGGTACGGTATGAAAGCTCTAATAGCAGACGGCTGCTTCTCACTCAGGGCTGTTTATGTTAATGAGGGAGGGACGGTCACTAATGGGCGGGGCTTTTCTCAGATGACACATACAAAGGGAGAATGTCAATCAACGTGCTTTTGCAGACTGTTTTTATCAAGTGTGATTATAAAGAATGTAATTAATGTTTACCAGAAGCTGGTTATATTCAGACTGTTGTCTAAAAACTAAAAATAACCCAATGTTGATTTCAATCTTTTTCAGCCCACTTTAAGTTCAACCAATAAACTGAGGTGTAGACACTTGATTGATAAAATGAATTAAATTATATTAATTAAAAGGTTTCCAGCATTATTCAGCAGTGACACTGAAACTCACTCATTTGATTTATTTGACCTTTTCATTGGTTAGATTTGAATATTCCTTTGTTCTCCATGGAATGAGTTCTTTTGAACAGCTTTAGAACTTGCATTCCATTTTAGCTTCCATGGTAACATATCAAGGTACAACTGTAGTCCACATGAACCAGAAGTGGCTGCAGATACAAGGACACTGGTTTCTCTAAGCTGACATACAAGCGATCCACTGATGAATCGCGGCTTTGAAACGCTCCAGTGTCCCTGTATCTAAGATTACATTCAGTAAAGAGCGGTGGGTTCAGTGAACCGATGACTAGGCCCACACGGAATCTGCGTGCGCAGAATTTCGCAGATTTCTGCAGATTTTTAGCCCATCATTAAATCTGTATATTAAATTGTGTAAATGTGTGTACATTTATTTTTATTCAGTTTTTTAATTTTAGTAATATTATTGACTAATATGAAAATGTTCATCTGATTTATGTACAATGCAGTTTGTACAGTAATATTTTCTGTCTTTTAGTAGAGATATTATATGAGAGACTTGCTTTGTTTACCAAATGAAGTGAATCTAATTAGATTTGCAATTTAAACATTAAATAAACGTTTAAAAGGTATTACTTTTTATTTTACATATTAAGGTTTTAGTTATGACACTCCCAAAATCATTCCGCAGATTTTTTCCAAAATTCTCCGCAGAAATAGTAAAAAATATTCGTAGATTCCATCAGGCCTAAATCACAGTCATTTCTGTTGAGCATGTGAACACAACAGCAAATCAGCGATGTTTGAGATGCTCAACAGCGCTCGAGTTTTAGCAGGAAATGGGTTTGTTTTTTTTGTTTTTTTTTATTTAGGTATCGTGAAAACCCTACTTGCAAATTACGTTAATGCTACTTTTAATTTCTGTTAAGAGTGTATTTAATCTGCATAATCACTGTACAAACTGAGGGGAAAAAAATCTAAACGTTGCCCAGTGTTATGTTAAATTACTTGCTTGAGAGCAAACAAAACCTTGTCTATTTGATTTTACGCATTTCTAGCACTTCAGTTACGATTTATTAATATTATTAGATTGTATATGTACGTAATGGCAATTACATAATGTTATCATAGGAAAATATACTGTGATGTTAATAAAAACCTAATAAATATTATTGAGTTGAGCACAATCATTTCTAAAAACATTTTTATTTATTTATTCTACTAAATTCAATAATATTACAAAGTTTTTGTTGGGGGGTGGGAGCTTTTTTTTTTCAACACCATGTCTCTGACAGCACCAGAATCAGTGCATGTATAAATATTACTTAAAATACATGTTATAATTATTTTTAAGACACTTTAAACATCCGGGTCTAAAACTCATTTAAAAAAAAAGACTTTAAATGTATAAAACCTTGCAACCTTACATGTATAAAATCAGTTGTGAAAGTGCTATAAATAAAGTTATACCCTGTTTTACAGAGGTGGAAAAATCACTCCACACACTAATAAAAATACAAATACAAGATGTTGTTTCATTCTTTTAAATCCTAGCTTGTCACTTGTACTGTAAATTACTAAAGTATTTTTTTC